GATGCTTTACAAAGGCCAAAATAAGGCTTATTGAGTTTGACAATGTTATATGTCGAAAATGGTGAACGTTTACATCTGCTATTACAACACAGAAACTTCGAAATTATGTTATTTGCAACATTAGAAAGGTCATTTGATAAAGGTCAAAATGATTTCGGAGTAAAGTATCCAGTCACAATCAGTATAATAGTATTATGGCAAAAATGAACCATATAAAATTACTACAATATCCATAAAAACCCCTTCACATAATGATCATATGCTCATTAGTGACTGATTCCATGTGGCATTTCCTGGAGTTCTAATGAGAAGCAGTCACCAATGGAGTTCAACCAGGTCTGTTAGGAGATATCAATTCACTGAAGACAATGGTGCATGGTTGCTCAATTTCGTGGATTGGTTGAAGTTAGACATTAACACCGTTGGATGACGGCCGGCCGGCTCAGTGGTCTAGTGGTTAAGCGCTCGCACGGGAGACTGATAGGTCCTGGGTTGGAATCTCACGAGGTAGAATCGTGAATGAGCACTACTGAGGAGTCACTTACTAAGACGAGTTGGCCGTCCAGTGCTTCCATGTTTTCCATGGTGGTCTAGCTTCAATTGACTCGTGATTTCGACTATATAACATTGCCAAAGTCTCCACAAAACCCCCCTTCTAAAAATGAAAATGCAAAAATAAAAATTGTGTCAATAAAATTAATAGCATGAGAATTTCATCTTGTCAATTGAGATAATAGTGATAAGTAGTTCAGGCGGCCTGTTTAAACATCTGGGCTACCTGTTCCTGTCACCTAGATATTTCAACAAGTTATCTGATTTTCTTTGTTTTAATACAACATTATGCCTATTAATCGCACAACATATTCAGGTGCGTTTCTGAAAAGTGTAAGACCTTTCGCTGTAAAGGTTACAGAAGGCCTAATCAGAGATATCGTGGTTGCTGGCAATATGCAGCGAGAAGAATGTACATTATCCAGATGTCGATTAACTGGGCTACTAACTTCTAACCGGCGATCACCCAATATTTATCGTCAGGAAGGACGAAGAAGTAAGAAACGGAAACTTGTTGAAGTACTTTGTGCTGAGAATTCTATATTGTACCAAAAATATAATATTGAATAAAGCTAATAATAATAGTAATAATAATAAGATTGTTGTGTAAATATAATATGTAATAAGAGGGGTGTTATCAAGGTAATTACGATAAATGAATTGGGAATGATAACTGTAAAGATTAAGATAGAGGTAATCGAGAAAAGGAGTGGGGAAGAGGTTTATAATAATCAGTTTAGGTATCCGGTGATCCAGTCGTAGGCCAAGGTATATACCGTTTCTGGATACATAAGTTTGGTTTTCTGCAATTGATTCAAATGGCTTCGGCTATGTAGAGCAACTATAATCTAGCTCCTTGAGGTAAATTTTTTGAAACTTTATATAAAACAAAGAAAGCTTCCTCTATTTTGATATGCCAAATGAAAAAGAATGATGCTGTCAATGTATTTGGTGACTCCTTTTCCCAACCATGTTAGTACATATTCACGAATACGCAAGGATAAAGCCTTCTGAGTACGGCCTATGTTATTATTAGTTAACTTAAATAAATTATGAAAGAAACAAGCTTATAACAATCTTCTCAAATTTGAGAAATTGAGATTGGAGATTGATTATGAATACAGTGGTCTTGAATGCTGTTAGATGTATGAGGGCAGTTATCACTTCCCGGTTGCCCACACCGTGGAAGGGTTCTTTTAGAGGTACCTGAAAATGAAATTGGGTTAGAAGTGCCCAAGGGAAAACTGCTTGAGGTCGGTCACACACGACCGTTTTGTGGGTAGTTTTTGTGTTAGCTCCGTTCTTTAAAGGACCTTACCGCCGGAGACGGAAATCCGTGGGATAAGGCGAGACGTGCATTTTTAGGGCCGACCTTTTCTAACCCCACCCCTCCTTGTGGGAAGGAAGCATCGCTGTTATGCTGGCTGTCTGAAGGAAACACCTTACTGCTGTCACACCTCCGTACAGTCAGTAGTACGACTTCGCCTTCGAACCTTAGGTCTGCTGCTTTTAGTTTTACCGCTCTTCAATCGACCTGTCTCACGTGGTAGGACCTTGAGGAACGATTGTTCCAGCCAGTGTATCTCGATTGGTTCATCACTATAGGTAAGCCCAACCACCACTTCAATGTAGTAGCAATGGTCGGGTGAATTTGAGAAATTAAATAACACATACCTACCGATACGGACATTTCCTAATCGATAATCCATATTACGTCATCGTTACATTTCTTATCTTTTATTCATTTTCAATCTCCCTATTAATATCATTGTTGTCAACACTATTTCAATGAATATATCCATGTATATCCATCCATCCATTCTATCCGGAATAGAAAAGGTTCCAAGTGTAAATTATGTGTAACATTTAACTGTATTTTTTAATATTTTATATGCAAATATGTATGGTGTAACTGTTACGTAAAAACAAAAAAATTTGCATAAATGCAGAAACTAATTTTGATTATGTCATCATGAATTATTGATTAAAATATTAATCTACATAAATTATTCACATGTCATCAATTTAAGGCATAATATCAAAAGGTTATTGATGATGGCTTGGATGACTTGGATGATGATGATGATGATGACGACTACGACGACGACGACGACGTAATCTGGCATAGACACAAACAATGTAACTTAGTTAATAACTTAACCCAAATTTAACAAACCTATAATTTTATCAAATTCACATGTCTTGTGATTACATATATGTGAATGGTAGAATATCGTGGAAATTCTCGAAACACTAGACGGTCGTTTCATCCTAGGCTCTTCAGTGGTGCGCATTCACGATCCCATCTCATGAGATTCGAACCCAGGATCTATCGGTCACGCACCCCAATGTTCAACCTCTAGACTACTGAGTCGGCATCCAATAGTGTTAATGTTTAACTTCAACGAAATGGTCGTCCATGGTTTTCAGGTTTTCCATGGTGATCTAGCTTTAATTGACTAATGAATTCAAACATTACATTTCATAATTGTTTTCTTAAAAAATTAATTTGATATGCTTGATCAACTGTTCATTTGAATTGAAACTTAAACATTTTCATTTATTATAGTGATAGTAATAATAATAAATTCATTTGGTATTATGAACTTGGATCTTCTTATTGATATGGATAACGAGTTGGTGTTTGAAGCTCATGGTACTGAGTTTGAGTCCTAGAGTGAACATCAACTCTGAGGTGCAAACACACCCAGCTGACGAGTCCCAAACAGGACGAAATGCGCATCCTGGATTCAAATTCTAGACACTATCCATCGTTGTTTATAATTTTTAACTAAACTTCTATATTCTATCATCTGGGTGGTTTATTTCTTAAATGACAGCTAAAATATTACATGCTTAAAATGGGTATTCCACTTTTAAAGAGAATTTTTTGAGTACTTCTATGATGATGATGATGATCTATGTCATTTATGAAGTAGGATTATATTTGTGAATTATCTACATGTCTATATGTCCGTCCTCCTGTATGTCTATCTATCTATTTACCATTTGTCTACCTGTTTATCTAACTGAATATCCTGTTATCATATCTTAAGTGATTGAATATTCAATACTGTCAGTTTGTTTAAAATATATCATTAATTGTTTTGTTAACAATGTTCAACATTAGTTTGGATCTTCACATTGATGTTTCGATCTGTAGTTGATCCAAATAACCAATATATATGAATTAAAATTCACCCCTTTGAACAAGCCAGTGACTATTTGGACTAGCAGCTAAGTGAATAATGCGATGGTGTTTGAAGCAAACGGTACTGGGTTTGAGTCCCGGAATAAATATTAACTCTAGGATGCAAGTATATCTAGGTGGCGAATCCTAAATAAGATGAAACGTGCGTTCAGAGTTCTACTATTAACCACCATCAATCTCCTCATATAATAATGATATATTTATACATCTTCGTTGGTATATCAGTCCCACGTATACTTGTTATGATAACATCATCATCATATGAAGAGTCAAATGATGTATAATCTATAACTAGATCGATTTTCGGAGTTCAACATCAGTTGACCATATGGCGTTGAGAACTTTCCGATGATAATATACTGTGTATCCTTACATTTTACATCTTAAATTATCTTTTTAGTAGATTCATTAGGAGTGTTTTGAGGGAAAGCGGCCTTATCCTACTCTCGGCTATAACAGGACATTTTGGGACCCTATACATTACCATCAATGATAACAATCCTACAATTTTAATCCATTTAAGCCTCCTCCTCCTCCCACTACTACTACTACTACTACTATTACTACTACTACTACTACTTGTCATAAATTATAAAATAATTCCATCATAATCATATTAACTAAGTTTATACAATAAATGACTTTCAGAAAACAAATCAATCAATATAGGTATTAATGATAAATGAACTTAGGGATATGTATATTTTCTGGTTTCACATCAAGTTACCTAATCTAATCTAAATAAATACTATACTAACAACTGTAGATTGTTCCTCCTTTTCTCTCTCTCTCTCTCTGTGTGTGTGAGTAAAGGATGAGTATGAGTGTCAGTAGGTTCTGTATGTATAATGATAAAGTAATAATAATAAACAAGTACACAAACAAACAAACAACCAAATAAATAAATAAACATATTAATTTTAAAATATTTTCTTTTTCTTTAATGTTTATCTTTTTTTCTCTTTTTTTTTCTTTTCTTTTTTTTCTTTGTAAATTCACACCCTGAACAATTTATCATTTGAAAAAGCGAAACACGCACACACACACACAAACACAAATAAAAAACAAACAAACGAGGGCGTTTATTATTTTTTTATTTTGACAACTCATCTCTGATTGGTTAATTTTGATTAACCAATCATAAGCTTGCCTTTTATTTTTGAATTTGGTAACAATAAAAAGTAAATGATGAAAATTATTTGTTCATTTTTAATTGATTTGATGATCATATTGGATTATTTATGTTAATGGATAATTAAATCATTTCTTTAGTATATTATTCAACGAATTTTCATTATATTCGGATCTATACAACTTTTTTAAAGGGCATAGCAACTAAAAGAGAAAGAAGAAGAAAGGGGGGAACTAACTCAATCTAATTCATCATCATTTGGCTACTAATATCTAATTTGCTTAATCACAGGCAGTTCTACTAAACATAGGACGGACTTTATATGATCTGATCTATGAATAATTTATTCAATTTGACATTACTATAGAGTTGGATTTATTGTTGATGTTATTATTAGATCATCCGATGATCCAAATTCTGTGGAATATATTATAAACTCAATTGTGGATAATATATATATATACAAAGAAGAAATGAAAGTGAAAAACAAGCGTCCATATAACCGATCAGAGACGTGTACACGTAGTAGTAGTAGTAGTTCTCATAGTAACACAACTTCTGGAACTAATAATACATCAGTATACATTCCTAATAAATTGAATGAACCATTAGATCAATCAGATAATAACTATTCTCCCTTGACAAGTAATACATTAAACAACAACAACACTAATGATGATGATAATCTAAATAAAAGTCATAAGAAAGCTTGTAATTCAACTAATAAAAATGCCAAGACACGTCATAAATCAAGTAAACATACGAATTCATCATCATCAACGTCAACATCATCATCATCATTATCACCTTCCAATTCAAGTAATACTACTAATAGTAGTACTGTATCACAACTAAGTGGAACATCCTTAAAAATCACTCATCGTGGTGGACGTACACATGTATCATCTGTAAATCCCAGTAGTAGTCAGACTAATAACAATTCGATATCGAATACAATACGTTTATCTAATTCCAAGACAAATTGTTGTTCATTAAATAATTGTTCATCATCTACATCAACTACATCATCTAGTGGAATTAATGAATCAGTTGATCCATATGAATTTGCTGTAAAAACTGATGAATCAATGAATCAATGTGGATTGAATGATAGTTTAATACCAATTAAACGATTAAAATTAGAAAGAGTAAGTCCAATGCATTTTGATAGTTTATCAAAATTTGAAGGGGTTTTTGTGAAGATTTCAGTATTTTTCATAGTTGAAATCATGAGTCGATTGAAGCTAGACTACCATGGAAAACCTAGAAGCATTGAACGGCCGTTTCATCCTATTATGGTGAACGGTTGCTCAAACTTCGTGAGTTGGTTGAAGTTAGACATTAACACCGATGGATGCCGACCGGCTCAGTGGTCTATCAATTAAGTGCTCTGGTGCGAGACTGGTAGGTCCTGGGTTCGAATCTCGCGAGGCAGGATCGTGGATGAGCATTGACACTGAGGAGTCTCATAATGGGACGAAACCGCCGTCCAGTGCTTCCAGGTTTTCCATGTTGGTCTAGCTTCAATTGACTCATGATTTCAACTGTGAAAAATTATCATAATTTATTACTGAAGTGTAATTATGTAATTTGTTTTAAGTTACATTTTTGTTGTTGTATTGATGGATGGTTAGTGTTTTTTTAGCGAGTTAGTTTTTCTATGGGATGTGGTTGCTAAACCCATACCCAACCTTCCTTCTTTACCCGGGTTTGGGACTGGCAATAACTCTAGAATAGCTCCTCCGTGAGGGTTAACAGGCGGAAGTGTGTAAGTAAGTAAGTATAGATGGATGGTTAAGGAGACTACTTAACAGCCCGAACTAAAATAGGTGTAACACATTACAAATCTATGATTGATAGTGTATTGGTTACGTAATCATTGTTCCACTTCATAAATCCAATTATGATATTGTAAATAATGTTAAAACTTGTCATTTCTGCTCGACAGCTTATCCATAATGTTGGTAGTACTAGAATAATTGAGTCTATTGTCTTGTAATTGTTTTCTTCTCCTTCTCATCATTTTAATATCATACATAGAATGTTAAGGTTATATACTGTTGTTGAATCTTATACTAAACGAAACTTGAGACCTAGATTTCACCCCTAATTATTATCCTACTTTGTTTAGCTTTACTAGGTATTATTATTTTGGGGGGGGGGGCATGATTTTTTAAAATTTTTATCGAAGGTTCAACATTCCTTCATTCATATAGAATAGATGAAATGTGGTTAGTAGTGGAATACAAGATGTGCGTTTTGAATTGCCTCCAGCTGTTAAGTAATAATTGGGTTCATTTTACGGTGTAAATATATATATATATATATACCAGTAGTAAAATAAGCTAAGATTAGATGTGGCAAAATGATTAAAGCATACTATCCTTGAAATATGATATCATGATTAAGTTGTTTCAATGGCATTTAACATTATGTTCCCAAATGACCTGGTACGGCCGAGAGTGGGGAGAGTACGATCTCTCTCTCCAGATGCTCTCATATGACCATGCGTATACAGCCTCTGCCAAGGAAGTCCTACTCACTGCCTTATTGTGGCGAGGGTGTTGTTTACGAAATTGAGAGGACAAAAGCCGAATGTCGGGCTCTTTAACCGAGTTGGTGGACACAGAAAGTTCACCGAGGGGAGTCGGGAAACCATGATTCCAAACCAATGGTGCACATGGGCCCCAGTATCCTGAGGGAACAAATGGTGTATGAACCAGTTGTTGGACGCCGGTTACCATGAAATTGCATCTTCTCACGATGCTCCACTGCTTTGTGGATCAGACATTTAGGTCAAAGGCTCCGGGTGTGGCCTCCTAAGGAAACCACCTGCTTCTGTTTGGGCACCCGGGTAGTATAACATCCCTCGCAGAAATCAAATGAGATTTGTGTGGTGCATATATATCTGGTGCCCCTTTGTACCTGACTTTTATACATAATGAAAGATAGAATGAATAATTAATTGTTTTTTTAATTATTGTTACTATGACTATTTCTATTACTCCACGATTTGTCTTGTAATAATTTCATTTCTCTATATTAATATGACATGTTAAGTTGAATCAATACACAATTATATATATCAGGTACTATGTTGCATATGATTAGGTAGTTACTAAACCAGTAATTTATTGAATGAAGGGTTGTAATTGACAGGTAAATCAATAATTGTAGTTGAGACTTATACTAGTTCAATTCAAGTTTAAATTCTTGTTACTAATTGATTGTGTATATTAATAATAATAATAATAACGATTTAACTAACTTAGTATGAATCTGGTGTTCATCTTGTCGTGCTAACGAGATATGGCAACTTGGACCGATGCATAAATTTGCCTGTTCCTACGTTGTAGCTGACTGACTGAAATAACTTAGTATTGTTTGTTTGTATCTTCCCATTGATGATTAGGACTGCAACTGGTCAGTCTCTAATTAGCATATGTGCATCCTGTGTGTATTACCTCGATATAGCCTTAATTCACAAACATTATAAGCAAAGATGGATAGTGACTATCAGTGGAATCCAGTTTGACGCGCGTTTCGTCCTATTGGGGACGCGTCAGATGGATTTACCTGGATGTCAGAGTTGATGTACACTCTGGGACTCGAACCCAGTACTTTTATCTTCAAACATCATCACGTTATCCACTTAGCTACTAAATCCTGATAGCCACTTGCTTGTGTAATGGGGGTGAAGTTTGAATTCACTTAATATTGTTTGTTTGACGATTTAAATTCCTTAATTTATTGATTTTTAGTTGTTAAGGCTTTGAATGATACCAGATGTTCTAATATTTTATCATTTCATCAACATATGGTTATGTCATTTTATACTGTTTACCCTTTTTTTTCTTTTTTTTTCACAATCTGTATGATTATTGATTTTTACAAATTTTTTTTTTTCATTTTGTTTATTATCTTTGGATCTAAACAACATGACACCAGTCAGTATGATTACTGGGTTACATAATAGATTTAGTAATCAGAAACCTTTTTAAGAATATTATGTAACATGACATTGATCTTTAATATATGTGACATATCAATGTGAAGGTTTTAATCTTCTCATAGGTCATTTCTGATCTGAATATTTCAGTGATAACATCAGTTATGATACATTACACTTTATTCATGATGTAAACCAGCATAATATTTATACTCACTGGTTTCTGTCAACTGCTTCCACTCATGTGGTGTGTGTGTGTGTTTCAAGACATCAGTTGTTCAAATAAAATCTTTCAATGATGGATATTGGTTAGCAGTGGAATTCAGGACGTCTCATTCTTTCTATTTGGGATTCGTCAGCTGGAAGTACCTGCATCTCAGAGTGAACATCAATACTAAGATGAAGGTACATTCAGTTGAAGAATTCCAAATAGGACAAAATGGGTGTCCGGGATTCCACTGCTAGCCACCATACATCTTTGTTTATAATGTTAATAAATTAAATCAATATCAAGGCAATACGCACAAAATACAAATATATCAACAAGAGACTGATCAATTGCAGTCCTAAATAACAATGGGAAGATACAAGTAAACAATACCGAGTGAATTACAAATCCATGAAGTCACTGACAAGTGGACTGAGCCATGGTGGTAGGTGTAGACTACCTGGTTGGGATCCACGAGATGATAGCAATTGATGGTTAGAGACCTTGAATGACATCGCTCAAAATTGTTTGCAATGACGAAGGTACATCCACTCTTTGTGTTCTACCAAATTCTAATCTTCTGAATTATTCATGTCTCTATCTCTTTTTTCTTTCCGAATTTATTTCATTGGATTATACTAATTCAATAACATCTTCAAAACCTAATCTTTCTGATTACTGTTTATACTCTTACTACTTGTACCACTATAGGATTTGAATTGACAACTTCATCTTTGTGTTAATGTTGTATGGCAACTCGAACTGATGTACGTACGTACGAATTTCTATGTTGTGACTGACTGACCAAGTGATTACTATACTAATGAACAGTTTTATTCTGTCTAAAACTTCCAACATTTCATTGACTCTTAGATTTTGAATTATGTCACTAGTTGTACATTGAAGATGTATGGTAGATTATAAAATTCCATGGTGATCTAGCTTCAATGGACTCATGATTTAAACTATGGATGTAGATAATATTATGAAAACATTAATTTCTAGAATAACTCAATGATGGTAGTGACTAACACGCCAGGACATGGTATCCAACTGAGTTGTTCACACAGACAATGGATACACAAAAAAAGGAGTCTATCATTGACTTCTTCATGCAGGTATCTATCTATGTCTGTATGAGAGAGAGAGAGGGGGACGAGGTCACTTTACTTATTGACAGAAAAATTTAATTCGCCTTTGTTTATACATAGACACACACACACATTGAGAAGTGATGTAAAATTTTCACATACATTAAGTATCTACTGTTGCTTACATATTTAAATCTCATCATTAGAAGAAATGAATGTCTTATTGTATGACTATGATTCATATGAATGAAATCACTTGATTATTTTCTATGGTAATTAAAGTTTTCATGCGCACACACACATATATATACACTGTTGAGTTAACATTTTAAGTTTTGAAGAGGGTAGATGTTTATATTGTATAGAATAAATCATGACTTCATAGGTTTATATAATAGACGGTACTCTCCTTCGACTGAGATGGCTGGGCTATGTGTTACGTATGCCTGAACACCGATTACCACGATGCGCTATGATGATTAGTATCGAGGATGGTTGGAAGAAAGTTAGGGGCGGTCAAACCAAAACGTGGCATCACAACATGAAATTACTAACTTCTAGTTTGAGCCATGTTGGTAGATGCAGATTACTTGATTGGGGTCCACGTGATCATCGTAACCAATGGTTGGAGACTGTGTGACGGCTCAGAATCGATCACAATGGCTTAGGTGTATACACTCTTTATCTTCCCTTAAGCCTTGAGATTAAAATTGCTTCATAACTTTCTTCCTTCCTATACTATATCATTATATACAACCTTTCTTTTATATACTACCACCACTAAATTAACTATTTCTATGAATCCGGTGTTTATCTGGTTGTGCTAACGAGGTATGGCAACTTGGATTGATGCATAAATGTGCCTGGTCCTACGTTGCAACTGACTGACTGACTTAGATA